AAGATGATCTTTTCAGTTAAGACTTGTTTTTATATAAACCAACTGAACCCATTTTTCTGATCATTACACCAAACAATATTACTAGTCAAAATAACTGCAGTGTGATGTTTACCAGCTTGCAGTGATTAGCACTTAAACCCCACTGCTGTTAATGTGGCCCCATTGTGCATTTCAGAAACTCACGTACACATAAATCCTTATACTCTTGCATGCACGTAGGCCTGATCGAGGACAATCAGCTGCCACACGCAAATGTTCTAGCCTGGAGTCCAGCGATGCTCACGTAAAGCTCGTGCAGGTGTAAATGCACGTACTCAAACCATGACCAGTGTCAAATACTACTATAGCATTCAGATACTCGCATTACAGGATTCCTCTTTGTTGTGGAGTATCTGCTTAACTGACCCGTTTATTGGAGAAAATAAAATATGGATTTTTTCTAAGGCCAAGTTTTAAATATTTAAACAGGACTTTTTATTTATTCAAACAAGCTGAAAGGCCAAAATTACAGATTTGGATTATTAGATGGAGGGAAAATGTTTTCCCTCCCATCTGATCACTTAATCGCTTATCATTAATTGGGGTGAATTAATAATTCATCCATTTGGATAAGGGAATTACGGGTGTGGCTGCTGTGACTGACAGGTTACCTGACACACCTGACCTGCAGTCACTAAACTGGACCTTTCCACTGCATTTATGTAGTCACTGTGACACCTTTTTAAAATATTATCCCACTTGCTTTACATAAGTCATTTGCACGCATGAACTATGTCCATGTCAGGAGAATCACTTGAGGACATTGTCAAACTTGTGGTTTCTAACATGTGGAGAACTTGTCACGTGCAGGCAGGCAGACTTGCCTTTCACCACATGAAAACAGTTTGTCCCCTCAATCATGTGGTGCTGCTTGGGTTAAGGGAACAGGAAGACGATCCGGTGTGAATTCCCTATACAATTACCTGCTCAACTTTCATATGGACTAATTACACAGACTCTGTATCTCATTGTACAACTGTATAGTGACAATAAAGGCATTCTATTCTATTCTATTCTATGGGGGAGATGACATGGTCAAGACTATTTAAAGTTCAACCTGACAAATTAAGAGATTTCTGTTCTCACGTCCTGCTGCTCTGGTTAATGTCTATAAGGTTGAGAGCTGTGGTGCCAGTGTAAAATAGCTCAAAGCTATAAATGAGAGTACCACACTACATTTACTATCTATTGCTCCAAAAGATCCGCCTAAACCAACCCAGGTTGATTCAGGTGATAGATACTGGGTGTCTTCTCCAACCAAAACAATGCAGTCTGTAACCAACGACTTCTGGTATTAACACACTGGATACCTGCCAACAATCACAAAGACAAAGATGCACTTGAGTGTTGCAGTTTTTGAAATTTGGCTGTCATATCCTCAGAATTGATCAGTCCTAACAATAAAGATTACCTGCAACAAAGATTTAATAATGAAGTACTGCTGACTACGTGCTCACCTTACCGGCAATACCTGAGTGCTAGAACATGTCTGTAACACAAAAACCACACTGGGAAGACCTGGAAATCTTCCAATAAATGCTATGTGTGTTTTTAAACAGGAATACAACCAAGAAAGAAAGTGAACAAGTGAACTTGTTTTAATAAGGTGTTCAGTGGGAAGATATATTTGAGCTCCGGGTCCACAAAGTCAAATTTAGTATCATTTTTGGCCCCCCACAGATAAGAGAACTCACAGCTCGAGCAAAGTGTTAGTTTAATATTTAGTGCAAATGATTAACTTTGGGCTTATGAAATGTCCGGTTAAAGCTGTGGGCTTGCGTACATAGTTGAAGAGGGGAATCTGTGACACCCATGGTGCATTTTGGCAACGAACTTTTAACCACATTAATTTGATTTCAAATGTACCTACTGGGCTCATTTCCAGTTGCACAAGGAGAACAGTATGTCACTATTATTAAGTCTAATCAGGAAACAAGTTTAAGCAGGACCTGTTCTGCTGGTTTCAAGCTCCATATTTTATTCTTGTGCCTCTATTAAAAATAACTGCACAATTCAAAGTAATCCTTATTTATCTTAAACTGTGCCTTGGTGCAGCCACTCAGTCTGAAACTAGCCATTTTAGCTCGTAGGCTTTGTATAAATGGTAATATGGTTAGTGAACTCCTGTTGTGAAACCTCAAGCCGAGGCCCTTCACAATGGGATGTTAACACCTTGGTGTTTTGAAACTGGAAGTAACAAAAGTGCACAATTGTAGAGTAACAACTTTGCTAGCCCCGCCCTAAAGCGTACCCATGTTCTTGATTTCCATTGAAATAGGGACTGTTGTTTACAAAATAAACCTGGAATGTACATCCATTTACAGACCTTCTTAAGGCCACTCTCCCTGTCAGCTGAAACAAAACATACGAACAGCAGGTAGGTACCTGGTAAATGTGCTTAAAAAAAAAAAAAATAAAATAAAAAAATAAAAAAATAAAAAAGCTGAAAAGTCTATGTAGTATCTACACTTTCTCCTCCAATGGTGGATATATTTCTGTGAGAAATTTTAATCTAGTACTGTGACAATTATTCACAGTAAATAATCATTCTGACTAGTGTGGATAGTACTTACAGGAAGTTTAAATGTTAAATATGAGCAGACACTCAGATTTCAACTTTAAGACATCTTCCTTTCAAAATATAGAAGGGACTTAAAAAAACCAAAAAAAAAAAACCTGTTTCAATAACTTCTGTCAGCTACAAATTGTGTTTTCCTGAAACCCAGGGGGAGATGTTCAGCTGTTTAACTGTCAGTCCACTAGGGAGGCCAGAGTTCAGAGGACAGCCACCAGCACTCAATAGCTACAAAGAAACATAAATCCAGTGCAGTGTTTATCCTTGTAGGGGTCACCTTGTCACCGCAAGTGGAAAATGACACAGCAATCACTCATTTTATGCACCACAGCTTGAGTACATGCCCTGGTTACACACCTATTAATAAACAGTTCTGGCTGTTTGGGGACAATAAGGGTTGCATGGGATCCCTTTGCGTGTGGCTGTCATGCGATCTTTCCATTCACCCGTGACCCTGAGAGGGTCAGCATGTGAAACTCATTGAGTGAGATAACACGTTCGCCTGCAGTCAGATGCAACATACTGGAAATCACACCTAAGATGCAATTTCTATGTTGCCATTAGACCTTTTTAAACAACAGGGATGATTTGATTCTTTTTCTCCCCTCTGCTCACATATTTTCAAGCTGTTGCATCATTGCTTTCTGTGTAATCTGAGAACTGGACTGAGCTTTTTGAAATGCAGAAACAAACTAACACGACACCAAAAACAGAGACTTTATCATATTTGGATGCTTGGAAACAGTGTTATCAGCCAGTAATATCAAATCTAGTAACTAATAATCCAATTCTTATTACACTGGGCCAGATGAAGCCATTGACCACAAAAGCTCGACGTAGCTTTCGGTTGAAAATGTGAAGAAAATAGGGCAATTTCTCAAACCTGACTTCTGTTTAATTGCTAGCATGGAGCAACACTTGTGACTGCTAAAAGACTATTGTTATGCATAAGAACTTTTATGAGCCCTTTTAATCTGACTTCTGAACTCTTTACTGGTCATTTTATGGACTCAGTCGCAAGTTTCAGGTCATACAGAATAAAACATTAAGACATTAAGAGTTAGAAACTAGGATTATCCAGAGTATGTTCATTGGTTTAGATTTGTCCATCACTGGCTGTTAGCCAACAAATGTACTGTTCCCAGACAGACTCTCTTGCTCATCACATCCAGTTTCAAAACACTAAGATGTGGATGGCGGAAAAAAAAGCAAAAAAAAAAAAAAAAAAAAAAAAGCTTGGGTCCATGCTATATAACATGACTTCAGAAACCATTTCTGTGATGGCACATCATCTGTATCCAGGTTTTACACCACCTACGAGCACTACACAGAAAATTTAAGAGTAGTTTTCCATGGGGAAACGACCACAGTGGTCAGGATATGCAGGCTGAATCTGGGAATCACTTCTGAATTTCTTGCAGCGGTGACTTTTAATAGTCACTGACATGGGTGGGACAATGGTGCTGATATTTTCGAATAAGAGGCAGTGGAAGAAGTTTCAGCCTTGGCACTGGCATGGCGTCTCTGGAAATTGTGGCATCTCCCCCCCAAACAGACAATAGTCAAGAGATTTTGTTCACTTTCTGAGCTCTTCACTCACTTTCCAAAGTAATAAAATACATTTTGCTTATCAAATGACTGGCATGATAACAGAAACTCATTTCCTTAAAACAATACAGACTAATCATGCCTAGTCAAGAGCTCCATTTTAAGCCAGGAAAAACACTTTGTGGGGACGTGCCAACCGAATTAAGTGAACTGGACCTGTGGGTGGATGGGGGCACGCTAGGGACCCAAAGGTCCCAGGGGGAAGGGGTGAAATCACTAGAAGAGTGAAACGTCCGCGGAAAACCACAATAGGACACGAGGGAGAGGACTCTCAGTCAACACAATGAGATGGAAAATGACAAAATTGACATCACACTGACTTTCTGTTTGACTGTTCTGGTAAAGTCACAGAAACCACTAAAATTCCTTTTTTATGCGGCTTCGACAAACCTCTCCAGCAGATGAGATGTGAGGCCCTTCACGTGTTTGTGCCACAAAACTTTTTTTTTTTAAACATCCACATTGCCTTCACATGTGGATGTAAAAATAGCGGCAAGTCAGCATCACGCCACGGTAAATGAAACCACGTCGCTTCAGAGCGTCCTATAAGGCCACTTAGCTTCAATCATGTGCGCCTTGTCGTAGTAAACGGACTAAACAACGACAGCGGAACTAGATGGGATGAAAGTGGCTCACACATGAGGCGGCTAACCGAGAAGCAGAGCAAGCTAATTTAATGCAGCTTTAGCCGTTGAGCCCAAATTGTGATTTAAAACTATAAAAAGCGGATCTTTTGCCTCAACGCGCCACGTTGGGATTCTCGGTCCCGCTCACTCACCGCGGAAGGTTCTTCGGCTGCGTCCGCTGGAAGCTCGGTTGAGCTCGAGTGGCCCCCGGTGTCCCTTTTGTTGTGGAGTACAGCGACACGTTGCTACGGTACCACCTCCGGGTACCACAGACCTCAGACTGAGAGGAGTTACGGGATGGTGATGGCGTTATAACCGTAGCGCATGCGCATGTGAAAGAATCTCTGAGTCGCAGTAAGGGGAAGCTGAAAACGTGCACGTGCGACTATGAGGCGGGGCCTAGCGGGAACCATATGTGACTTCAACGGAGAACGGACGTTGCTTTGTAAAGATGAAGTCTAACACGTCACACTACGTGCTTTAAGCGCCTAATTTTACAGAAGAAATGAATGGAAACCAAATGGAGTCACTCTACTGAGCCTCTATTTACTTACAGTTTTATTTGGTTTAGGTTTGAAATATTGAGAGATGCTTGAGATCTTTGTCTCGAGTAGCAGCCTAAATACTTTTTATATCCATCACCTCATATCCTAAAACCATATTGATTAGCAGAAACACTGCAATATCCAGCAGGCTGTCTCTAACAGTACAATTTATATTACTCAGACATGCCAGTATCTACCTATGCTTCAACCCCAAGTCAAAATTAAATCTAGCTTAAATTCAATAGAGCATGAATGTCAAACTGACTTTACGTAATGGGCCACACTTTGATCTTAACTGGACTGGACTGGTGAAACGTGTCGTTTGTGTCAGTGTAAAGAAGTGTAACTGCGCATTTAACCCTCATAATTAGCCGTTAGCATGCGTCCGTACTACCTGCCCCAGGAGTTCTCGCATGTTATCACGATAACAGCGTATGTCCCCCCCTCGGCCAACGCGGATGCAGCCTGTGACTCTCTCCACTCTGTGGTCAGCAGACTGCAAACACAATCACCGAGAGCCCTTCTCATAATATCAGGGGACTTCAATCATGCCTCACTGGACTCCACACTGCCCACCTTCACCCAGTATGTGACCTGCCCAACCAGAGTCAATAAAACACTGGACTTACTGTATGCCAATGCAGAAGAGGCATACAGTTCATCACCTCTCCCTCCCCTGGGCAGATCTGATCACAACCTGGTGCACCTTGTCCCTGTGTATGAGCCCTTAGTGCGCAGGGAGCCACCAGCCACCCGCACAGTACAGAGATGGTCAGAGGAGAGCGAGGAGGCTCTTAAGGATTGTTTTGAGTCGACTGTGTGGGAGGTGATTTGTGATGACCACGGAGAGGACATCGACAGCCTTACTACATGCATTACTGACTATATAAACTTCTGTGTGGATAACACTGTACCTACCAGGACTGTACGGTGTTTCTCCAACAACAAACCTTGGATTACCCCAGAAATTAAAACCGTCCTCAAGCAGAAGAGGAGGGCCTTCAAATCCAGAGACAAAGAGGAGTTGAAAAGGGTGCAGAGAGAGCTGAGGGGACTGATAAGGAATGGGAAGGAGAGCTACAGGCAGAAGATGGAGAACCAGCTTCAACAAAACAACGTTGGTGAAGTCTGGAGAGGCCTCAGAACCATCTCAGGCCACAAACAGCAGAACTCTCTGCCTGGGAGGGATGTGAGATGGGCAAATGAACTGAATCATTTCTTCAACAGATTTGATTCAACCATGAGGCAGTCTGCAACATCGGCTGCAGACTCACCCACCCCCACTGCTGCTGTTCCACCTCAGACACTTCACACCTCCTCTATTCACCCTGCTCACTCCCCCCCACCCCCAACTGCAGCATCCAATACACACTCAACACAAGGCTCCAGCCTGTCTCTCTCAACCACCCAGGTTAGGAGGGAACTGAGGAGGATTAATGGCAAGAAGGCAGCGGGTCCAGATGGCATCAGCTCGAGGGTCATCAGGTCCTGCGCAGACCAACTGTGTGGGGTGATGGAGCACCTCTTCAACCTGAGCCTGAGGTTGGGAAGAGTCCCACAGCTCTGGAAAACCTCCTGTGTTGTACCAGTGCCAAAGACTTCACGCCCCAAGGACCTCAACAGCTACAGGCCGGTGGCTCTGACATCCCACCTGATGAAGACCCTGGAGCGGTTGGTCCTGGCTCAGCTTCGGCGCCTAATAAGCTCATCACTGGACCCACTTCAGTTTGCCTACCAGCCTGGCATTGGAGCGGATGATGCCGTCATTCACCTCCTACATTGTTCCCTCGCTCACCTGGAGACCGCTGGAAGCACTGTGAGAATCATGTTCTTTGATTTCTCCAGTGCCTTCAACACCATTCTTCCCTCGGTTCTAAAGGACAAGCTGGTGAACTCTGGAGTGGACCATCACCTCACTACCTGGATCCTGGACTACCTCACCGACCGACCACAGTATGTGAGGACTCAGGGCTGTGTGTCGGACAGGGTCGTCTGCAGTACGGGGGCCCCACAGGGAACGGTTCTGGCTCCGTTCCTCTTCACCATCTACACTGCAGACTTCTCCCACAATTCCACCCAGTGCTTCCTGCAGAAGTTCTCTGATGACTCTGCAATAGTCGGCCTCATCACTGATGGGGACGACAAGGAGTACAGAGGTCTGACCCAAGACTTTGTGGACTGGTGCCAGCAGAACTACCTCCAGATCAACGCCAGTAAAACCAAGGAACTGGTGGTAGACTTCCGCAGGCACAAGCATTCTCCACTGCAACCACTGAACATCCAAGGTATGGACATTGAGGCTGTGGACAGCTACAGGTACCTTGGTGTTCATCTGAACAATAGACTGGACTGGACTCATAACTCAGACGCCCTCTACAGGAAAGGGCAGAGCAGGCTGTACCTGCTGCGGAGACTCAGGTCGTTTGGAGTGGAGGGCCCACTCCTGAAGACCTTCTATGACTCTGTGGTGGCTTCTGCTATCTTTTATGGCGTGGTCTGCTGGGGCGGCAGCATCTCTGCTGGGGACAGGAAGAGACTGAACAGGGTGATCCGAAGGGCCAGCTCTGTTCTAGGATGCCCTCTGGACCCAGTGGAGGTGGTGAATGACAGGAGAACGGCGGCTAAGCTGTCATCCCTGTTGGACAACATCTCCCACCCCATGCAGCAGACTGTGACAGCACTGAGCAGCTCCTTCAGTGGGAGACTGCGGCACCCACGGTGTGGGACGGAGAGATTTCGCAGGTCTTTCCTCCCCACTGCTGTCAGACTCCATAATAAAGACTTTAACTGAACAAACACATCCACACATGTGCAATAATACTAAGTGCAATAATCCTTTCTGGCATCGTTGTATTCTTACTCAGTTGTATATAGTATTTGTATTTGTATTCTATTTTTATCTTATTGTATATTTATTTTATTTTATTCTACTGTATATAGTATTTTATTCTATTCTGTACAGTTGTGTACTGTATTTATTCTTATTGTATTCTAATTTTTGCCTCATAACTTTTGCACTGTCCACTTCCTGCTGTGACAAAACAAATTTCCCACGTGTGGGACTAATAAAGGTTATCTTATCTTATCTTATCTTATCTTATCTTATAATTAGAAAACGTGGTGCAATTAAATGATAAAAAGTAAAATTACTGAAAAGCTTCTAGCAGCTCATTGCCCAGACTGTCCTGTAATCATACAGCAGAATTCACAGAAAATGTGTTTAATTTACTGTTTACATTGTAAATAAATAAATACATTTCTGTTCTAGACAGTAAAAAACTGAAAAAAACTGAGACTTTTCTCCAGTTTCATTGTTTTTCTGTTACTTCATTGCTTTAGTGTAGTGTGAATGTCTGTGGTGAAAGTCTATCAGTAGGACAAGCTGTAAAATTTATGAAAATCCAGTTAAAAGCCCTAAATGTAAGTACTCTTCATTTATCGAGAAGGGCTGGACTGGAGTCTTTGCTAGGCTGGTTCTTGTACTTATTTTTGCAATAGAGAGTCTTTAGGGACTTTAATCCAGTAAAAGACAGTAAATTATCATTTTTCAGGAAACATAAACCAAAGACAAAGGAAGAGAGGAAAGGGGGAAGACATGTTAGGAGGTCTGAGAGAGAAGGGAAAAGAAAGGACCACAGAAAAGATTAGTGGATGTATTAATGGAGGACATACAAAGGGTTGGTGTGACAGAAGAGGATGCTAGTAATAGGATGAGACGGAGGCAGATGAGCGGCTACTGTGAATCTTAAAGCAAGAAGCCAAAAAAAGAAGATATGTAATGAGACTCTTTGGTATGTTCTGTAGTGGTCTCAAATAACTGAGTTTAGATTTCACTCAAAGTCCTTCTAGAAGCCAATCCAATCTGATTGTAAAAATTCAAGGAGCGTTTGCTGACTCTTTGCTCATACATGACTGTATTTACTTAATAGTTGCTATTAATCTTAGGCTCTCTTCCACAGTGTGTTTTTGTCCTGTCTTCCTCCCCTCACTCCAACTGGTCTCGGCAGATGTCTGTGCCGAAGGTTTCTTCTTATTAAAAGGGAGTTTTTCCTTCTTACTGTTGCCAAAGCGGTTGCTCATAGAGGGTCATATGTGTTTTTGGGTTTTCTCTGTGTTATTCTATTCTATTCTATTCTATTCCACAGCATGTGTTTATCAGCAAGTCAGTAGCATGAAGCATGTATGAATGAACAGGTGGCACCAAAGAGCATGCTGTTCACTCCAGGCTCAGGTAGCTCGCACGGCCTCTGATCAGGTCAAAACAGGCCACAATACAACAGAGGCACGTAGGACACCCTGAATTACTGATCTGAAATACATACTCAGCACTTAGTGTTAAAAACTTGCCATATATGCTTCAGCTGCTACACACACAGATGCACACACAGTCATTAGCTGTTTATCATTAATATATATTTGAACATTTTTATGATTTAGAATAAAATAAATGAGAGGTAAAGCCACAGGTAAAAATGACAGAATTACATAATATTATAATGCATGTATTGCATTACCTTATTATATTACAGATGCTGAAATAAAATATCTATTTCTCTTTGCTGAAAAAAAGAAGAGTTTGCGTAAACCTGTTGGTATGAGCCGTCTCTCTAGAACCAAATAGTAGAGGCGCATTTTAGCGTTTCAGGAGGTACTAACAAATATACAGTATATACATATTCATAGTACTTCTCTGTGTTTGGATAAAATGTCATTATATACAATGACACACATGCAGCCTCAAAAAATGCTGACTGAGCACTCCTCTGGCACTGACCGATTCTTGGAAA